GGTCTAAAAGCATCCCTTAATTGGAATTGAATGCAGGCTCCAAAAAATGCATCTTGATTAGAGGGGAAAAAAATCAAATGAGACTAGTTTTTTTTTTTTTTTAGTCTGTTGATATATGTTTATATCTGTATGTATAGCTGCCCATGTATACACACACATCTCTATATGTACTGTTTACGTAAGTTAGAGAAGAGATGTTTCTAAGGATGTTACGATTGGCTGCTTTCTTGCAATTTCGAATCCGAGAGAAGATACTAACCGAGCTTCAGACTTTGTATTTTGCTCCGCTGTGAACATTTGGGTCTCTAAACCCGAATGTGAACATGACTCGGGCTCTGTGGAGTTGGAAGGGAACTCCCGTGTGACCCAGGTCCCGCGCTCCCTTCTGGGGAAGGATGTCACGCTGAACCACTTACGTGCCCCGTCTCCCTAGGTGATCTCACCCCTCCCCCCCTTCAGTGCAGGTTGGATGCTGTCTCTGAGAAAGATAGCTGGAGTTGGAGTCTGAGCTGCTGGAAGGGTGGTTCTTCTTGGGATGAATGTCTTCCCAGCGACGTGATCTAATTTTAGACCGCTGGGGATGGAAGCGAGGCACCAGACTCACACTCAGGAAGCAGATGTCAGAGAATCTGCTTACTCACACTCTGAAACAAAGCTCAGAGCACCACGGAAAGGGACCTCTCAGAGACAAGGAAGGCTTGGAAAGGTGCAAAAGGCACAAACCCCACCCAGAGGGAATTTGGAGCCAGCAGAACTGGCCAGAGGCTGCCTTTGCCAGCCCAAGCAACCCTGGGTGCATTTGCGGGAGCGTCGGGACATCCCTGTTCAAATCCCAGAGCGCCACAGAATCAGGGAGTCCGTCAATACCAAATATTTTTTGAGCATCCGTATTACTAGGTATAGGGAAAACAAAGAATTGGCAGGGGAAAGGAAGAATTTTATTTAATTTCAACGATTCTGTTAGCTTAAATATGAAAGAGTCAAAACTGGAAAGTGCATTGGGTGATTCTGATGAACAGAACGGGAGCATCATTATAAGATTTTTGGAAAATTGTTTTGTTATGAAATGGTGTCTTCACTTACTTTGATGTGAGAAACACCTATAGTTTTTCAGTAGTGTGTGTGCCAGTGGTTTTTTCCCTCTCTTATCCCTTCTGGGGCCCGTTTCCTCTCCCCTCAGAATCATGACACGCCCGAAGGCACTGGGGGCCTCGGCTCGGTGTTCCCTCCCAAACATCACCATTCTGCAAAACCTCATAAATGTAAAAGAAAATCAAAAAGAAAAATGATCCTCTATCCTCAGTTTCCCATCTTTCTTTCTCTGGAAGGCATGTTTTTAAAAAACTCATCTGTCTTGATTCTTTGGCCTCCCAATGAAACAATACAGGTGTATTAGACAAAATTCGGAGGTTATGAGCAAGAAGAACAAAACGTTTACTTGGAACCCCACTGTTACGATTTCCATGTGGACGTGACCTGGGATCCGTGTAGCCTGTCCTGGCCACAGACTCTCCGAGGCCCTGAGACTCTCCAGGGATTCAGAGGGACATGAAGCATCTCCAGCAGAGGAACAAACGGTGTCATTCTTGGTGTGAGCATCTCCCTTCCCCCGTTCACCCCCCACCCCCAGACCCCCACACCCTCACATCTCTATACTGCTGCCGTATTTCCCCGTTGCCCTGTTAACAGGATCCATGGAACTCAGATGACTGGCGATGAGGCCTCAGACCTAACCCAGTCCAACTCATCCACACCCAGTCCAGCTCATCCAAAGCTGGACCACTGGCTTCATTCCAAGCATCGTCTTCTGCAGGACCCACCCCCGTTCCCAGTTCCATAAGCTCAAAACCCACCAGCTGTTGTCTCCCTCACCTCTGAGCCCATGACAGTCCTGGCCACCCGCTGGTACCTTCGCTCCCGCACTTCTCTCCATTTCCTTCACTACCCTGGTCATCACCCTGTGCCTGGACCACTGTGCTATAAGCCTTTGTAACTGGTTTGCACCTGAACTCCCATCCACTCTTCATCCTGCAGCGAAACGATCTTTCTGGACATAAACCCCACGCAGGTCTCCATCTTGAATATACCTCTTTGGTGGTCATCCGGTTCTCAGAGTAAGGTCGAAATTCCACAACACGCCCTTTGTCCTGCACGGTCTGCCTCAGTGCTTGTCTGGTACCCTGCCCCCCACCCCCCATTCTCTTGTTGCATTTTTTCCCTTCTAACGGTATGCGAATTATCTTATAAGTTTGTTAGCTGAGTCTTTTTTATATGAAGTTTTAATTTTTACTGTGGCTAAATTAGTCTTCTGCGTTATGGCTTATGGATTTCTTTGTCATCTGGAGAAGGCCTTCCTCAACTAAAGATAACACAGCTATTCTTGTACATTTTCCTTTCTAGCTTCGATTTTTGTACTTGATTTATGACTCCATCTTTAGTCTTAGGTATGGCGTGAGGTAAGGTTGAATCCGTATGTTTTTCCATTTGGAATCAATGATTTCATGTGCCATCTCTAACCCCTTCACTCTCCAGTGAAGCTCATAAACTAAGTTCCTATACTGTCACATCTCTGGAGTCACCGTTTTGTCCTGCTAATCTCCTTGGTTTTTGCCACTGACACAAAAAGACACCCATTATTAGAACTTTACAATGTATTTCAGTTTCTAATAGAATGACCTCTGCCAAATTGTTCTTATTCTCAAGACTTTCATCATGATTTGTGTACATTTTTTCTTCACTATGGGTTTTAGACTTCTATGGACTTTTCTAGAATTGTCGAATAACCCCAATTCTATGATAAGTCTTGGTGGTGATTTTTTGGGATTGAATTGAACTCATGGATTAATTTAGGAGACACGTTATCATCGTCTTATTTCTGTGTCTTCTTACTTACAATGTAGTATTCTTTTATTTCTTTGAAGTGGTGTGGCTTTTATCAGCATCTTGTGTCGTTCTCCTTTAGCATTAATTCCTAAGTACTTCTATTTTTCTTGCTTTTGGGGAGGCAATCTCTTTATTATATTCTCTATTTGACTATTGCCTGATATGGGACAGATATGGAATTTTTAATTTCTTTATATGTGTCTGACGTATTACTGAACACTCTTAATAATGTAATGGCTAAGTGGCTGGCTTTGGGGTTTACAATCCTATCATATGAAAACAAGGATGTTTTTCTCTTCTTTTCCAATATTAATGTCTTTCAATGTCATATTTCTTGTCTTGCTTGTTTTGTTTTATTGTAGCGGAAGTTGTAGAGAGCAGTAACTAAAGTGCAAGAAAAAAAGTATGTGGACTAATTTGATGGATGAAAAGCTGAACTAGGTGGGGATTAATAGAGGAAGGGAAGTAGACAGATGACTGTCAGAGCTTGGAAGGTCATCCAGTGGCTTCCCTTACAGGAAAGGAAGAGAGGACTGTGATACTCCAGCTCTGAGTAAATGGACAGGAAGAGCAAGAGGCCAGAATGTAAAGGGAAGAGAACTTCATTCAGATGCTGGGAGAGGGAAGAATGAATTTAGCTCTAGGCCGGTGGAGTTGATGGCCCATGAGACCTTCAAGTGGGGAGTCCGTTAGGCATCAGGGTATTTAGGGATCAGCATGAATCCTTATTTCAGATGAACAGCTGCTCCTACTGAAAGCATCTGGGTTTACCACGCACGGTACCGGATCTGGGTTGGTGTTGGACGGGGCGTCAGATCGGGTGGTGCACGGGAGCTGTGCAGGGAACATCTTTGCCGTTGGGAAGGGGTCACGCAAGCTCACTTGGAGCCGGGGATTTTCCGCAAGTGAGGGCATGGTGGGTGTGCATGCCAGCCCGACCCCAACTGTGTCGGCCCCGGAGATACTTTCGGGATTTAGGTTCTGGATGGGAGCATCAGGGAGGGTGATGGCAAAGTTTGCAGCACATGCATTCGTATTTTTTATTTCCAAACATCCACGATGCTATTAAACTGCATTAAAAAAAAAAAGCTGGGTGATTTTTTTCAAGTCTAGGAAAGGTTGGTGGGTGGCGCAGGGGAAGGAGGGCTGAAATCCCCTGGGGGTTTGGAGACGGGGCCACACTCGAATTTTGACGGGAACTGATCTTGTCCCCTCTGACACGAGGTAATGATTTGTCTGCACTGTTTGGACCTGGGGCTGTGCCTGTCTGTGATGTGGCTGGTGCAGATCAAAGAAGGAGGCAGTGGACAGCCGTGTCACCACCCACTGTCGCCTGCACGGGGACCTCCGCGCTGACTTCCAGGGTTCCGGGCTGGGGTTCTGCACATCATTATCCAGATTAATGAGGACAGATGGGTTTTTGTATAATCAGCCTTACTGTGCTGCCAGTTTGATTGGGTCGCCAGGTGGAATATTCCAGTAATGAATTCTTACAGATATAGCAACCAATTCTGACTTAGGAAAAAAAAAAAAAGAGCGACGGGGTGCTAACGTGGGTGATAAGAAGTTCCTGCATTACTTTGCATGAGGTCTGCCCGGGGGCTGGCGGCGGTTCAAGGCCAGCCGGCCACGGGTGAGGTCCCTTACTCACAGGTACCAAGGGGACAATGTGGGGCCTCCCCGTGCCCTTTCCTCACCCCCTCCTCATCCTTACGCCTCTCTCGGCCTCCCAGGCTGCACGGCGGCGGCTAAAGCATAACCACCCCAGGTACCTCCGCGGGTCGTTCATTAGGAAAACGGGAGCCACCCAAGCTGGGGGTGGGCGTGGCAGGGGGCGGGGCCGGGCGGTGGGCGGGGCCGCCTGCCAGCGCCAATGACGTGCGCCAGGGGCGTGGCCAGAGCTCGGGCCGGCAGGTGCACCTGTCGAGGCTGGGGGCGGGGGGGGGGGCGGGGCCGCCTGCCAGCGCCAATGACGTGCGCCAGGGGCGTGGCCAGAGCTCGGGCCGGCAGGTGCACCTGTCGAGGCTGGGTCATCTGACAATCCACCAACGGGCCGTGGGTTTGCTTTGTTTGTTTCTTTGCTTATTCTGTTCGTTTTGTTTTCTTTCTCTGTTAAGAAACGAGGCCAGGGATATGAAGAGAAGCTACCATATTTGCCAAAGTTTTCAACCTATACCTCTCCTGGTTGCCAGCAGAATGATCCCTCCCCAGCTGTTTCCTTTTCCTACAAACCTGCCTCATTCTAAATAAAAGGAGGCCTCTCCCCGCAGAAACGCCAGCTCCTCACTGCCTTTGTCAAGTCTACAATGCGCTTGTTTTTTTCCTACCCAGCGATCTGTATGTCTCAGCCCAGGAAGATCCTTGAAGTGGATTTTGAAGTGAAAAATGAACTGTGAAGAGAAGTGGAATTGAGCCACTTTCTGTAGTTTTTTTTTTTTAAAGCTTGTGGGTGTGAATATTCATACGAGTATTATTGATAATGCCTCCAGATGGAAATAATCCAAATGTGTAGCGACTGGAATATCACTCAGCACTAAAAAGGAATGTACTACAGACACACGCTCTGAGGGGGTGAGTCTTGAAAACACGCTCCGGGGGAAAAGGCAGACACAAATGGCCTCATATTGCAGGATTTTATATGAAAGATCCCTGCCAGGCACATGCGCAGAGACGGGTGTAGGTTAGGGGGGCCCGCGGCAGCCGGGGAGGAGTGTGCAGGGTGACTGCTGGGGCGCGGTGTTTTTTGTTTGTTTTTTGTTTTTTGGTTTTTTTTAGGTGGGGAGAATGAAGGCATTCTAAAATTGCAGTCTGGCTTGAACAATCCTGCGAGAACAATTTGAACTGTGTTTTAAATGGGTGAATTGTATGACAAGCGAATTATATCTCAGTAAAAGCCCAAACGTGTGTATGTTGAAATGTTGGTACATGTATAACTTTTTTCCTGATAAGTTATATAAGCAATTGTAAACAGGGGTGACCCCGTGGCAAAAATGAGTTAGAGGAGAACATTCATATTTCTCATTTTAGATCTTTCCATAATGTTAAAGTGGCTTTTTACAATATTTTTTTTATGTTTATGTATTTTTGAGAGGGACAGAGTGTGAGTGGGGAGGGGCAGAGATAGAGAGGGAGACACAGAATCTAAAGCAGGCTCAAGGTTCTGAGCTGTCAGCACAGAGCCCAACGCGGGGCTCGAACCCAGGAACCGCGAGATCATGACCTGAGCCAAAATCAAGAGTCTGAACTCTCAACTGACTGAGCCACCCAGGTGCCCTTCCACAGTGTTAAAGTGTTTAAGCCACTTCCTATATTACTTTTATTTATAAATAAAAATTTTGAAAAACCTACACTGCTTCTCTTAGCATGTTGCATAACAAATTTTAGGACTCAGTTTCCCCCTAATTGTTAGTTTGTTCTCCTTCATTAGACTGTAACAAGACTGTGCACACATCTTGGTGAATGTCCTCAAGGTCAAAGTGGTAGAGAGTGGGCACTCAGTAAATGTATGCTGCCTTTCAAAATACGTTCCTTTGACCCAGAGATTTCATTGAGAATGAAAGCGGAGATTACCCACAAGAAAAGATGGGGATTTTTATCATTTCCCAGAACTAATATTTACTGAGTATATACTATGACCATGCACTGTGCAAAAATGTGCTATATCATCTGATATAACATCGTATCTAAGACATAGTAAACGTAGTAAGTGCTCATCGTGTGGCCTGTAATGAACAAAAATTGGTAAATTAATGGGTCTAGGGTTGGCTCGGCAGCTTAAAGAACTTCTCAAGAATCTGGGTCCTTTTTGTCTTTCCATTCGGCCATCTTCAGTGAGTCAGTAGTGGATGGCCTCAAGGTTGTAAAGTGGCTGCTGCAACTCTGGCATTACATCTCCTCCACAGAACAGCATTCCAAGCAGGAAAGAAGAGGAAAAAGGTGCAGGGAAATTGACCTTTCCTTTGAGAAGTTCTCATCATTGATTAGGGATGAGCATCTTTCCTAGAGGCCCCAGCAGACTTTCTCTTCACAGAATTGTGTCTTGTACCCTTCCCCCCACTCCAGCAGTTTCTGGCAAGAAAATGGATGTAACTGGCTTTGACCAATTATGATCCATATTGTGGGGTGGGGCACAAGACGGATGTCCTGTCGTGGGGGCCCAAGGGGAGGACCCCCAGTCTCTGCCACAAATTAGGTAAGGTAGGGTACTGTTACTATCTCCATTCTACAGGGGGATCACACTCTATAGCAAGGGGGTAACTTCTCTATGGTTGCACAGACATATCTCTCTAAGCTGCCAGAATTTCAACAGCTGACTTTTGAGCTCCAGCTGTCAGCTCTCCGCCATTACATCATGGTGCCTTCCTAGGAAACCCACCCTGGTCAAGACCCTGCATTGACCTACAATATAAAATTTTAAGGGAGCCTGGGTGGCTTAGATGGTTAAGCATCCAACTTCGGCGTAGGTCATGATCTCCCAGTTCGTGGGTTCGAGCCCCGCGTTGGGCTCTGTGCTGACAGCTGGGAGCCTGGAGCTGCTTCGGATTCTGTGTCTCCTCTCTCTCTGCCCCTCTCCTTCTTGTGCTTGGTCTCTGTCTCTCTCAAAAATGAATAAATATTTTTTAAAAATTTAAAAAAGAATATAGAAATTTAAAAGCATAAAATAGAAGTATTTAAAATATAATTACATAAAATATAAATACATAAAACAGTAAATATGTGAATTGGGAAGGACATTAAGATTCACTGAGGTAAAGCTTCTACCAGCAGCATCAGCATCATCTGGGAGCTTCTTAGAAATGCAGGTTCTCAGGCCTCAACCCAGACCTTCTGAGTTAAAACCTCTGTGCGTGGAGCCCAGAAATCTATGTTTTAGAGGTGACACCTGTTAAAGTTTGAGAACCATGGACCCGGTCCAACCCCATCATTTCAGAGACTGATCCAGGTCACTCAGCTTGTTAGGGGCAGACACGAATTGTAGGCGGCCCTGAATTCTGTGATGAACATCGAAATTAGATATTCTCCCCAAGCACACACGTGGGCAGAGACTTGCATTTTTTTAAACAGCCTCAGATGCACACATCTCGTTGACAATCATAGTGATTAGGAGCTGGTTACACGTGGAGGCATCATGCTACGTCCTGACGGTGGTGCGAGGGGTCCTCAGGCAACCCAGCAACGTGGGCGTTCTGAACTGAACGGCAGAGGAGCAAAGGAAACCCTCAGGGTCCTCCGGCTGGAAGATGGGAGAACCGGGATTCAAGTGCACCTCGTCCAAATGCAGGTGTGCATGAGACCAGGCAGGTGAGCAGGCGGAGTCTGAATCTGAGCCTTGGCCTCGCCGCCTCCATGCAGGAGACAAGCCACCACCGGTGCCCCTGTCCTCAGCCAGGCTTCCGTTCCAGCCACTGGGAGTGGCCCAGCCAGAGTGAGGGTCTCCCAAAGCTGTGCAGGCTGTGGGCTGTGGCTGTGAGCAGGTGCTGGTCCCGGCCCCCTCCCCCCTCCCTGGACTGCAGTGGCTTGTTCTGGCCACCTCCGGAAGCCTCCTATGTCCTCCAGCTTTGCCGAGGCTTTGCAGGCCACCAGGAAGTTGGCTTTGGCTTGGGGCCTGGGTGACTGCATGGGGGAGGGGAGAGGAGGAGCCCCTAGGGCCATGAACTTGCTGCCAGCATCTGGCCAGCTGCCATCCATCAGCTGGAGTGCTAGCCGGGCTGTCCCTGGGGGCTGCGCCTGGGACGGTCACGGTGCGGAAGCTGTGCGGGAGGAAAACCAATAATAGGAGCCCGCCTGTGCCTGCTGGGCCCCCACACCTGGTGCCCCAGTTACTGATCAGGGGGTATCACGGGATGACAGGTGGTCACAGCTGGAGGGGACTTGAGTCACCATACAGCCCAGTGGCTTTCAAACTCTTTAACGTGGTAGAGACCTTGCTTCAAATGAAATCCTAGGCAATAAAAAACCAATCCAGGCAGCTAAAGAGTGAAGGCCCGCCAGAGCCCAGGGAGTTCTGCAAGGCCCTGCAGCAGATGGCCCAGTGCTCATTTCCACACACTGAGGACAGAGGGTGGAACCCACCCTGTGGGGCAGGGGCAGGGCCCAGAGCCCAGGGTCTCTGATTCCAAGTGTGTTCCAGAGACGGGGGCCACTGGGGGGCTGGAGACAGCTGTGCCGGCCATGGGAGCTGCCAGTCTGTCCCGAAATACCTTGGGGGAAGCCGTGTCCAGTCACAGTGGAGAATCTGTGACATTTAGGGGAGAGGGAGGGCCTCCCTCCCAAAGGCTGGAGAAGGTTTGAGCCAAAACCCCGGGGGTCACCCCAGGTCTCGGGACCAGGAGGTCTGAGGTCAGCTGGGGTCAGTGTTCCCTATAAAGGAACTTGGGGAATGGAGTGAGGGCTTCTTATTGCCCATGCCCTTGGCAGAGATCAAATGCGAACCTTTAAGACTGGTTGAAGAGTCTTGGGGGAAAACTGATGGGTGGGTGGTCCCGGGGACAGGCTGGTGCCCTTGGCCCTATGAGGAAGTTGTCAGAGGAACTGAGGGGTTGTTCCTGGGTGTGTGTGTGTGTGTGGCACTTAGGCGGTGTCACTGGTGAGGCCAAGAGAAGGGACCAAGGCAGAGCCGTGGCTGGTGGGGACCCTGGTCCTCCAGAAACGCTCCCCAGCTGCTCTCCACAGAGGAGAGCAGACCTATCCTCGTGTTCAGACTTCACCCAGCACAAGAGTCTTCTGGTTTTCCCCAGGCTCCCCAGTGCCTGGCCCCAGCTGCCTTCTGGGCTTTCCATGGACCTCAGACCGCCGCACTGCAGACCAGGGCTCACCCGCATGGGGCACACCAAGCCCGGCCCTGTTTATTGGAGCATTCCAGGTCTCAGAGCACACTGACCTTTCCCCGATGCCATGGACTTTATGTACCTGCTGACTTGAGTGTTCGCTTCAGACCGAAGACTTCCTCCTGCCCCTGCTCCATCGAGCTTGGCTCATTGGGCTGAGCCCGCCTGCTTGGCTTTCGCCAGGTGGCTGTGCCAGCGTGCGACGTGGCAGGGCTCTCAGCACACCCTGTGTAAGTCAGTCCCGCCGTGACACCCCTCCAGTCCCCACTTAACTCACCCTAGCACGTGCTTCACTTAGGGCTTTGTCAGTGGGACACCTGTGTCTACATTTCCTGGGATGCTTCTTGTGAATGAGTAGAGGCTTGGTGCCCCCAAGCATGGGCTCTGGAGTCAGGCAGCCTTGAGTTTTGGGTAAAATGATACCTGCCTGTGACTTTGGGCAAGTACCTTA